ATTTATTAATTCTAATACAATTAATATTATAAAATTTATATATTATCCCGATCATATTTACTTTAAAATATTAGTCATGCTTTAATCATGCTTTAAAATATTAGTCATGGTCTGAAGAATGCTCATTAATAATGAGCCCAAAATATAAATCTTGGATATTTATTATGTGACAGCATATAACTGTAAGTGGCAACTATATCCATGCACTCACGTGTTTCATTCTTCGTTTGTTCCTTTCTATCTTATTTCATTCAAATAAAGGGCCCCTAAAAGAAATGGTCCAACCTTCTATTTCACATTACGAAGCGACTTTACCACAAACACTAATCACGTATTGAAACTAATCAACCTTGAGCTCGATTTTTTCATCATAAAGACTGATTTTAACGTTTTTCAGATATAATTATGTTTAAAAATGGAATTTCCCTAACAAAAAACTTTTCAGATAGTTAAAGTCAATACAAGAAAAGGAAAAATAAACAATTACATTTTCATCAAACATAATCCAAAATAAAAACAATCCAAATCACAACATTTTTGTTTTGTTCGGTTTTTTAATAAATTTTTTATCGAGTCAATACCCGAACCGTCATTAAACCACGGATTTTCCTCACAAAATGAGGTTCGTTCTTGACTCAATCTCCACCGTCCGATCTTTTTTTGTTTTTCCAATCAACTGCTATCACAATGAAGAGCAGCTTTAATCTTCTGTACGGTGCACGATATCAGATTATTAACCGTTTCTACGGATTCCACCGTAAGCTTAGCCGTAGGCAAACTATTCACCAGTATCTGAAACGCCACCGTTAGTAACGACCCTCCTTCCTCCATACACCCACCGTTACCGTTGCGATCCTCTGCGGCGCAGCGTTGCTGAGCGTTCGGTAGAATAGCGAATCCTGAAGGAAGGAGTGCCACGTAAGCAGAATCACCACCGTTCATCACAGCTTGCATTGCTGGGATATCAACAGGCGCGTACACTACAACCGCTCCTGCCGCGTCTATGCTTGTTTCTTGTAGTATTAGCATACTAGTCTGATTCGCATTTATCGCCTGCAGAACAAAATAAATTAAATTTTAAAAGGGTAAATTGGGAATAGACAAAACAATAAGCGAAAATACATAAATTCTGATGTGACCGATGTGTCTCTATTCGACAGTGTCACCGTCACAAGGCAGAGAGAAGTTCAGGGGTAAAAAGGACAAAAAGAGACTAATAATTCAAAACAAATAAAAAGAAAAATAGAACTATGTCAGAGCCAAAAGGAAAGAAAAAAGGTCAAAAATGTCTTATTTAATTTTGACTTTTTATCCCCCCATACTTCCAAATTACAGATTTGTCCCTTTTCAATCACACGCGACAGGATTCATATGACCACACCATAATTGGACCCCACACAACAACACAACAAGTCCTTTCACACACAGCTATACGCCTATACATAAAATCACATTAAATGTCCCAAAAAAATCCGGTTTAATTCATCTTTAATC